TGGCCAAAAACCGGGACAAAGGGCGGACCAATCACAGTGCCTTCCTCTTTGGCTTTGGGGATGGGGGCGGTGGCCCCACCCAGACCATGGTGGACCGCTTGAAGCGTCTGTACAATACAGATGGGCTGCCCAGGTCAGGCCTGGCCCACCAGCAGCCTTCACTGAGCTGCTCCATCAGCCCTTGCCTTGAGGCCTTTCTAGTCAAACGTTTGGCCCCACCCATCCGTTAGACCAGTCCCGCTCCAATCCTGTTCCATGGGCTCCTTCCACCTTCTACCTTGGGGGTGAGGTAGGGTGAAAGCTGAGGGTGGGAAGGAACTTAAACTCACCAGAGAGGAAAACTCTTCCTGGGATTTCTAGAGTTGGTTTTGTGTAGACAGCATTCTGGGGGCAGCTCTTTTCTTCAGGAACTGGATCTCTGATCTGTTCTGGTATGGATGAAGGTTGAGCCATGTGGCTCCCCCCAAGGCTGGGAGACCCAGGCTTGCATTCTCCCTCAGGGTACAGCTGTCTTCTCCGGGGCGACTCTTCTCAATGCTGGAGAGCAACTCAGAGCAGCTGTGCACATGGGTCGGGGAGCTCTTCCTGGAGCTGCATAATGGCACCTACACCACCCACGCCCAGGTCAGGAGCCAGTCACTCAGCCGAGCAGGGAGAGCATGCTTGTGCTGTATAGAGTCAGTGAAAGAAACAGGACAGAGCCCAGCCAGATCTGGGGGAGGAGGCTTGTGCTCCAAGGAGGAGCTGAGAGAAGTGCAAGAGCCGTGTTGATCAGGAGTCTGAAGGAGGCACTGAAGGAGGGAGGCATTTGGGACAATGTCACCCACAAGAGGCTTTATCCAGGAGGTCCTGGGGAGCCATTAGATGTTGTTCTGAGTCAGGACATCAGGTGTTCTGAGCCATGGAGGGCTTTGGAAGCTGTTCTGGGATGCTTGGGCAGGTTCTAGACTCATCCTTTTTGCCTTGCTGGCCCTGGCTCAGATCAAGAAGGGGAACCGGGAGTGTGAGCGCATCCTGCATGACGTGGAGCTGCTCAGCAGCCTGGCCCTGGTCCGCAGCACCTCATTTCTGTACCCAGCAGCCCAGCTGCAGGGCCTCTGGAGGTCAGCCTGGCTCTGCCTGTCACCTGCCTGACTCCACCCAGAGACCTCTGTGGCTGCTCCTCCCAGCCTTCATTCTTCCCACCCTCCTGGCCTTCCCCATTCCTGCCCTTGACCCCTGCAGGCTTCTACTCCTGAACCAGTTCCACGATGTGGTGACTGGAAGCTGCATTCAGCTAGTGGCCGAGGAAGCCATGTGCCACTATGAAGGTTAGCCTGAGAACATTCCCACTGTTTTCTTCAATACCCAGGGCTGAGCCCAGAGTGTCACCTGTAGGTCATTCAGATCATCCCAGTTGGTTGTAGGAAGCCTCTGTCATTGCCCACTAGTGACCAACTAATTTCTCCTCAGATATCCGTTCCCAAGGCAACACACTGCTTAGCGCTGCAGCTGCAGCCCTGTGTGCGGGGGAACCAGGTCCTGAGGGCCTCCTCATTGTCAACACACTGCCCTGGAAGCGCACTGAAGTTTTGGCCCTGCCCAGGCCTGGTGGAGCCCACAGCCTAGGTATGAGCTGGAGAGAAGGGTTGCTGCTGCAGCAGGAGGGAAGGAGGCCAGACCAAGGGTCAGGGACACTCCCCTGGGGATCTCTGCCCTGGAGTGACCCAGGCTGGAGAGTAGCAGTAGTAGTATCGCTGCATCCCAAAGAGAGGTTCCTGAAAGTTCAAGGAGGCTGCACTCATGCCCAGTTCTCATCCCCAGCACTGGTGACAGTGCCCAGCATGGGTTATGCTCCTGCTCCAGCTCCCACTTCACTGCAGCCCCTGCTGCCCCAGCAGCCTGTGTTTGTTGTGCAAGAGGTGAGTGCTGGCGTGTCCAGCTGGGTCAGGGCTGTCCTGGAACATTCTTGACAGCACGGGGTTCAGAGCTCCCCAGACTGGAACAAGTGGTGAGATGGGGCTAGGGTGGGGGGCTGTTGGTTGTGGGAAGCCCCTGCCAACTGTGTCAAGGCTCCCTTCTGCCAAGACTGACAGTTCTGTGACTCTGGACAATGGCATCATCCGGGTGAAGCTGGACCCAACTGGCCGCCTGACATCCCTGGTGCTGGTGGCTTCTAGCAGGTGCCAACCCCTCACTGCCCTCTCCCAGGATCTCGCAGGTGGATCCCAGACCCTGCTCCCTCTGTCCTCTGGCCACATCAGCCTACCAGTGGTTCTGGGTTGGGACCCACTCATGGAGCAAAGCAGGCTGGGCTGGGGAGACCCTTGTCCCTTGGTGTACTCACCCTACCCCAACCGCACCTTGAGCATCTGGAGAGACCAAACCCATATAGTTGTAAAGTACCAATCCCCATCTCCTTCCAGGGAGGCTATTGCTGAGGGTGCCGTGGGGAACCAGTTTGTGCTGTTTGATGATGTCCCTCTGTACTGGGATGCATGGGATGTCATGGATTACCACCTGGAGACACGGTGCGGGTTGGCAGGATGTGTGGGTGGTGGGACATACAGGCCTAATGGGCCCTTCATCAGCTGGCCCCAGCTTAGTGCCTCACACATCTGCCCTCTAGGAAGCCAGTGCTAGGCCAGGCAGGGACCCTGGCAGTGGGCACTGAGGGTGGCGTGCGGGGCAGTGCCTGGTTCCTGCTACAGATCAGCCCCAACAGTCGGCTCAGCCAGGAGGTGGTACTGGACGCCGGCTGCCCTTATGTCCGCTTCCACACCGAGGTAGCATGGGGGTAGAATGGTGGCTGCCTTCCGGAAAGTGTGGCTGCTAAGGAGGGGCCAGCCCCAGGCCCGTGTGTCTCTCCCTCCCCTCACCCTTGACCCCCATCCCAGGTACATTGGCACGAAGCCCACAAATTCCTGAAGGTGGAGTTCCCTGCCCGTGTGCGGAGCCCCCAGGCCACCTACGAGGTCCAGTTCGGGCACTTGCAGCGGCCTACCCACTACAACACCTCTTGGGACTGGGCACGGTTTGAGGTCTGACACGGGTACGGTGGGGCAGGGGATCGGACTCTTTCTAGCTGGGGAGAGACTCGTTGTATGGAATGGGATGGGGAGGAGGAGGAGGAAGAGCAGTATTGGCTAGTTCTTGAAGTATTCCAGGCATTGTGCTAAATGCTTTATGTTTAGTTTGATACTTGTATCCATTCAGTGGGCTAAGTACTAATTGTCCCCATTTCACAGATGAGGAACTGAGGCATAGATAGTTCGGGTGGTGTGTTCAGGGCCTCCTATTGTGAGAGCTGGCATTCAATCCTGAGGTCCCAGAACTTGCCTTCACTTCAGTGACTGGAGCAAAAGGAGGAAGGGCCACCAAGTGGGTCTGGGATATGTCCTTCAGGTGTGGACCCATCGCTGGATGGACTTATCAGAACACGGCTTCGGGCTGGCCCTGCTCAATGACTGCAAGTACGGCTCTTCGGTTCGGGGCAACGTCCTCAGCCTTTCACTGTGAGTGATGTGCCCAAACCTGGGGCCAGCATTGGGGCAGGTCTTCCAGGGCCGAAATTCCAGCCTGGTACATTCCCACCCTCCTTGCAGCTTGCGGGCTCCTAAGGCCCCTGATGCCACTGCTGACATGGGGCGCCATGAGTTCACATATGCGCTGATGCCGCACACGGGTGAGTGCTGCCTCACCCCTTCTCTGCTTCTCTCCAGACCTCGGTTTCTCCAACCGTTGGTGGGGAGGGGAAGACTGCTGCCCTGCGTCTCTACCCATTTGGCACCACGCATTCCTTTTCGGCCCTTGCCCAGGCTCTTTCCAGGATGCTGGTGTTATCCAAGCAGCCTACAGCCTCAACTTCCCTCTGTTGGCGCTGCCCACCCCAGGCCGGGCACCTGTGTCCGCCTGGAGTGCCTTCACTGTGTCCTCTCCCGCCGTGGTGCTGGAGACCGTCAAGAAGGCAATGCGCGAGGCGAGGCGAGGCGGGGCGGCATGGGGCGGCATGGGGCGGCATGGGGCGGCATGGGGTGGCATGGGGCGGCATGGGGCGGCATGGGGCGGCATGGGGCGGGGACCCGGGCTGCTTCCGATCTTGGCCCCACCCACCATCCCCTTCCCAACCCAGGCTGAAACCAATCCCCAGGACCGCACGCTGGTGCTCAGGCTGTACGAGGCCTACGGCAGCCACGTGGATTGCTGGCTGCACACGTCGTTGCCAGTTCAGGAAGCCGTCCTGTGAGTGGGGTGGGAGTGGCAGTCCTGCCCTCACGGGGTCCTCAAGGGAGTCCTTATGGTCCCTCCTGTTCTGCAGCTGCGACCTTCTGGAGCGCCAAGACCCTGCTGGCCACCTGCCCCTTAGGGACTCCGGCCTGAAGCTCACCTTTTCTCCCTTCCAAGTTCAATCTCTGTTGCTAGTGCTGCAACCTACCCCCGAACTAAGTCCCTGAGGGTGGAGATTATTTGTAGAAAGCTTTAGGGGTTGCCTGAAGCACTGATGTATGACCTCTTAAACATTAAACCCTTGTCTCAAGACCCCTGCTCATTCCTGCTGTTTCCTCTTAAGGGCCCATCCTCTCAATTTGTGAGGGGAAGGCTTTTCTCCAGGTATTTGGGGGCAAAGGCAAAATCTAAGGTAACCTGTGTGTGCAGAGTCTGGGTTGCAGCCCTGGGGGGTACTTGGGGATGGGATGATCACCAGATAAGGGCATGAGATAAATCCCTATCAGCAGGGCTGGGTGGGTCAGCACTGACTAGTTAGGGCCAAGTTGGAGGGCAGCCACAGGCCCTGAAGAATCCTGGACTGGAGGAGCTATGGAGCCTAGCCTTGGGCCAGGTTCTGTGCACCACCTGTGCGGGACTGTCCCTGCAGACACAGACTGTCCTCTGACAGCCAGGGCCTTGAGGACTGGCATGGGCCTCAGTCTGCCTTGCTGGGGATGTAGCCCTCTTGGACTCAGGGCCAGGCAAACAGGCCCTCCTAACTTACCATCTCAGGTCTTCTGTAGCCAACCCAAGAAGTTTATCAATTTATACATTTTTAAAAATATAGCATTTTTTACATGAGCTTAAAAAGGGGGGATGGTGGGGATTAAATTTAAAAATCATACTTGTGTAAGGAACAACCATAGGACCACAGGCATCCAGCACCCTTCGACTACTCCCTGCCTCTAGGAAGCCACAGAGGTCCCCAGGTCCAGAGCAAGGCAGCAGGAAGGCATATATGCAGCTAAGAAGCTAAAGTCCCCTCAGGCTCCAAAGATGGGGTGTCAGTCTTGATCTTTTGGGGTCCGCAGTGGCCTGGAGGGAGGACAGGTAAGGTGGCAGCTCAGACCCCAGGTTGAGGACTACCCTGTCAGCCTTCCTCCCACCTTTGTCCACCTGTAACTCCTGCCTATACTGTCACCCTTTCCTTCTGGAAAGCTCCTTTTGGTGGTGCCCCTTCCATCCCCAGAGGAGGGTGCTGAGGAAGGCCCACCTGAGTTTGCTCTTCGCCCTGTTTTCTTTCCTTTCTCAGTGACTGGGGGGACTTTTGGGTCCTGTTGGAGACTGGTCCCCTCAGGCCGATGGGGTGTAGTTTGCTTAGGAAGTCCTCTTCGTGCCCTTCGTGTCCTGGAAGGGGACTTGCTTGGGGATGGAGGGTCCTGGGTGGAGGAAACAGGTTCCTGAGGTGCTCAGAGAGCAGTTCAGAGGTTGGTTAGGACCCACCACTGCCCCCACCCACCCCCACAAAGTCAATGGAAGGCAGCTATCCAAAAGCTGGCCCTGGGAAGTACAGTCAGGGCAGGGGGAGTGTAGGAAGGAGTTAGGAGCAGGGAGTCATACCTCAGTTCTGTCCTCAGGACCTGGCTGTGATCTCTTGGATTTCTTCTTATGGGACTTGTTCCCTGAAGGACACTGGTGCTGGGGCTGCAAGGTCCTATGGCCTTGGGCCCTTTCTCCAGACTCCCACTTTTCCACCCTGGGGCAACTCCCAGAGTTGCAGTGGGGACTAGGGACCGCTGCAACCCTTATAGATAACTCATCCATTCTGTTTTCTTAGCTTATTACATTAGGAGTAGCTTACCTCTGGGTGCTAAAGGTCCAGGATCCCCCTAAAGTGAAACAGGGATTCTGAAATCAGCCTGATTGGGGCAGGGGTCATTTTTCCTTGGAAAGGCAGGACTCACACCTATTTCCAGATCTGTGTGGTTCCTCCCCTAAGCCTATCAGACTGTTGTCACCCTGCCTTGGGCTACTCTACTAGGTAGGAGCCTGGGACTCATAAGAGGGGAGAGGCATAGCATAGGGAAGGCTTAGAGAGCTTCAAGGACATTGTGACACTTGGGGGGCCTAGATACAGACCCCATCTCCTGCCCACCTGTGACCCCAAGTCTCTACCACACATGCCTCTTTGGGATCTCTTTGCCTGTGTGAGCATTAGGACCCAAACCTGGAACCAGATGGTGCGGCCGTGCCGGTCCCGTAGAGAGCTCATGCCCGCCATGCCGTAGCACTGCAGCCAGGCTCGAAAGGCCGCAAAGTCTTCCTCCCCACTCTCCTGTCCATAGCCCTTGCCCCCTGTGGACAGAGGAGCCAGGCAGGGGTCAGAGGTCAGACTCAGGCTAGAAGGAGGGGGAACTTGATAGACTGAGGCAGGGGCCAAGGCTCTCTCTCCTCCAGCTCTGTATGACCTCAGACTGGTGTCTTCCCCACTCTGGGCCATCCTGGAGAGGGGTTAACAATCCTTGTGCTGCCTGTCTCATGGGCATCTTATAGGACACAGACACCTGACAAGTGAAGATGCCTGGTCCATTTAGCAACAACTTCCATTCCCCAGTCAGGGAACCAGGCCTAAAAAGGGGCACCAGCTGCCCTGGGGGTTATACAATATGCCAAAGCAGAGGTAGTTGGCCATCTTTGTATCTCAGGCCTTACCCAACTGGACCACTTCCTTGGGCACTGAATGGCACAGCTCCAGCAGATCTGGGTTCTGCAGCTTTGCCTTGATCTTCTGGCTCAGGGTCAACTCTGGGTTCTGGAGAAAGAGCAGGGACAGGGTCTGGCTGTCAGCATGCAGTAAGGGCACTCAGAAGACAGCTGACCCCATTGGGAGCGTGCTTGCAGGACTCAGATGGTTCATCCTCCTCCTACCCAATGCGTGCACATGCACACATACACACACTGTAGAGAAAGCAAACTAAGGACCTGTATGAGTTACATTAGAGACAGTTAGCTATGACTCAGTCCATACCTTGTCAGCCCTCACTAGTATGTGAGTATACCTCCCTCCTCTCCACCCTCACCGGCCTGTGCTGCTTCAGAGCCTCTAGAACAGTGCGGGCCTTCTCAAAGGGAGGTATCTTCAGCCTGCAGTGTGGGGGAGGGAGCCGTAGTAAGCAATGGGGAATGTGGGCACCCAACCTACCCTTGTACCCATGGTCTGCCTGCTAACCTGTATAGAATCTCTGCACGCAGATAGTTGCCAATGCCATTGAAGAACCTCTGGTCCAAGAGTGCCTCACATATGGGCCGGTCAAAGACCTTGTCCTCTAGGTTTCGTAACACATTCTCCCTGGAGGGACACAGCCTGGGCACGTGAGGCCCATTCTGCCCTTTCATCTCCCCCGCCACACACACACACCCCCCTCACTATGGGATGGCGGAGAGGAGCCAGGAGAACCTTTTCCTAGGTGCAAAGGAAGGAAATTAGGAGTCCTAGTTCCCTTTGCCCAGCCTCAGTGCTATTTTGGCAGTGGGAACCTCAGTTTTCCTATCTGTTAAATGAGAACAATACAGGATTTTAATTCATTACAAAAGGAAAATTCCAATCAAAAGCAACAAGTTAAAGGGAACACATGAGTGTATTTGTTGTGCATATGCCACCAGAGTACCTCAGGCTCCAGACATTTTTGAGAGCAAGGTGATCACAAGACCTCAGATATGCCTGCAGCCTAGAGATCCCTGTACAGGAATTTTGGATGGTTAGCAATGAAGAGTTAATATGGAAGGGTCTATTCTTCTCAGGACCTGAAGATGTTAGGGAGGCTAGTAATAGCTCTGTGCAGCAGGTGTGCGGGAGCAAGTCCTGGCTACTGATGGCGTCAGCAGCCCCCACCCTACCTCCAAGGGCCATGGGTCATTCCTCACCACTGGGAAGAGAAAATGCATCTTGTTTTTTTTGTGGAAAAGGGTCATGGCAAGACTGACTCAGTGATGGGCCTGAGAAGCATAAGAAACGGGACTGGAATACAGTATTTTGGGGTAAATGTAAGAGTGGAAGGCTAGCCTGGGTGGCCAGCTCCCTGAGGGGAACAGATCCCCTCAGACTCCCCAACTATAGGGCCAAGAACACACTGAGATGCTCATTGTTTGAGAGAAACTTCAAAGCCTGCTGACAGCATTGACCTGTGGCATGACTTCTCAGGAGAGGCAAGGTGAAGGAGTGCAGGACCACAGATGTTTCCTGAGTGTGCACTTGGGGTCAGTCATGCCTGGGAATTCCTGAGAAGGCCAGGAGTCAACTGCCTTCTGTAGCTCCAGACGTGGCCTGACCCACCTCAGTGGGCAACACAGTCTCCTAAGGGCCAAATGAAGGTGGGCTGTCCCCAGGGAAGGGAGGATCCACCAAATGGGCTCCAGACCTTTGTGCCTGTGATTCTGGTCAGTTTGAATGCTTTTCCTCTAGAGTTTTCCGTGGCTGGCTCTCAGGCAGGCCTCAGCTCAAATGTCTCCTCCAGGAGTGGCCTTTCCTAATGCCCCCCGCCCCCCATTCCCTAGCCAAAAGTCATTCTCTCCCTCTTGGGTTTTTCAGGAATGTGTCTATATGAATCCATCTAGTTTGTTTCCTTGTCCCTCCATGCCCTGCCTGAACTTTGGCTCCATGGAGGCAGGATCCACATCCATCTTGATCACTGCTGTATCCCCAACACCTAGAACAGGGCCTGGCACAAAGAGACTGATACACATTTCCTCTTTGGAGGAAGGGAGGTGGCTGACACTATGCCATCTTAGGTGACATGCATCACAACCAGGTAAGATTGTTACCTCTCCCACAGGCAAAAGACAGCCACAGAGGAGACCATGGGACACAAACGAGTGGGTAGGCAAATGTGGGTGACCGTAAAACCTGACTCAGAAACCATGTCATTAGGCAGTCCCCATCCTACCATCTTGAAACACTTCCTGCTCAGCCTCCCTTCTTTCATGTTGTTAAAGCCCCTCCACCTTTCTTCTTAGCCTCCTGAGGGTACCTAGAAGCAGTGGAGGGCGCTGATCCAGCCTCAACTTTCACAGTAACTGGCTACGTTCTCAGGGCATGCCTTCCTATTCACCTCTTGCTCCCACCTCCCATAACAATTTTGGTTTTCCATATCCATTAGCTCAGAGAGCTGTCCCCAGGGAAGTATAGTATCTTGGTCTATAGAGGAAGGGACTGAGGCTCAGAAGGGGCTGGGATTTGCCCCTCATTGGCCAATAAGGCACTAAAAGAGTCAGGTCCAGGACCCAGGGCTGTGCTCATCACACCTGGGGCTGGCCCTACCTACCTGAACTGTTCATACTCCAGCAAGACACATGGCCCACGGCCTGGCTGCCACTCGCCCCCGATGTCCCAGTGCCCAAAGCGGCGGATGTCCACAAAGCAGAGTGCCAGTCTGGGGCCAGGAGGAGCTGTGTAAAAGCGCAGATGGGCATGGGGTGGTAGCGCATTACTGGGTACCAGCTGGAAGGACCCAGACATACCAAAGTGGAACATAAGGGCCATTGGCTCCCGTGAGGGCTGGGCCCCAGGCAGGGGGCTCAGTGTCAGGCGAAGCTCCTTGCCCCGAGCTGAGGCTGAGATGTAGTAGGCACTGCTCTCAAAGGGCACCTCGGGGTTGCGGCTGACGGGTGACTTCTCCACACACCCGCCAAACACCAGCCCCCTGCATGCCTCATTCACGAAGTGGCTGGCCAGGTGCAGCTCAGGGCCCTCAGGCATTCTGTGCCAGGAGTGGGCAGGCCCTGTGAGGGGAAGAGAACTGCAAGTTGGATCAGGTGTGTACCTTGTGAGGCAGGACTTATCACCCCTATTTTACAGAGGAGCACTTGAGAATCAGAGGGGACCCTGGAGTGGTAGGTTTTGCAGGAAATGCTGCTGGCCTGGCCACAGCCTGGGACCATCCCCAGCTAAAAATGCTGGGAAAGCCCAGAGCACTGGAGAGCTCCAGTCTTGTTTGTTAACACCTTCCACGATGGTCTCCCATGAACACTTGCAGCTTTTAGAATAAAGTCCAGATCCTTCCTGGAACCAGCTATCATCTAGTTCCTAGGCTGCCCCTCAATCACTTGCCCCAAGCATGCCGCTTTTCCCATCCCCACACTTTTGGCCCTGCTGTCCCCTCAGTCTGGGAATGCTTGAGCTGCCCTCCCTGGCCACCCTTCCAAATTGGCCTCCCCACCTCCTCCAGACACACATTTTCTTCATGGCACTCCCAAATCTGAAATTGTCTTATCGTCTGTTGTCCACCTCAACCTCCACTTCCTCCCCTGTGGAAGCTCATTTTGTTCACCACCCCACCACTCAGAACCAACCTTATCTGTTGCCACAATCGCTGAGGGAATGAGCCCGACACCACTTGGGGAGCTGGGAAAATTAACGCTCAGAGGCTCACCTGGCAGTTAGGACGAGTTAAGACCGGAGCGAAGACAGACAGGAGGGGATGCAGGTGTCTCGAGGTACCGTCTGGGCTGGAGCCAGGTCCCCGCAGCTGCGAGGGAGGAAGACAGGGTCGCCAGTAAGACGGGGTCGCCGAGCTCCAGGCCAAGGTCCAGAGCAGAACAGGTCACTCCCAGGTCAGCGCCAGGGACGGAGGGGAACCCACTCCACCTCTTCTCCCTATCCCGGCCACCTGTTGGGGGAAGGGAGCTTGCATTTTCTCCCTCTCCTTGCCAAGCGGAGAGATCGAAGACGCAGGTGTGGTCGGGCATAGGCGGAGCTTAGCCAGGATAGACCCCCTTTCCCTTCACCCACCTTCTCGCTGTGCAGGACCCGGCACCCCGAGAATATTCCAACTGAGGGAAAAGGTCCCTCAGCGGGGTTCCCAATCCCACTAAGGGCAGGCACTCTGTGGCCCGCTCCCCCATCCTCACCATTCACCCCTGCTGCCTGTCCTCGGTACACCCTGGCTCCCTTTTTCTCCAAGGCCCCTAAATCCCATCCTCTCTGCAATCTGCGGTACACACCCCGAATGTCGCCCTTCGCCCCAGGTACCCGCACCCGCTCCGCCAACCAGCAGCCACTAAGGAGTTAAAGTCGCGGGCGGATCTCGCCTGAAGCTGTGGTTGCTCCAGCGCCCACTGGGAAATGTAGTTCCTCGGGCAGGAGGCCGAGGCCTTCGGGGTGGGATCCACGAACTGGGGTGATTCGGCGTGTGGGAAAGGCTAGGGGCAGTCACCTATTTGGGAGGGTGGCACCGGCAGGATCCAAGGTCAGTTCTGAGGTCCTGTGTCACAGCTGTCTCTGTGGCTGGGGAAGTCATCCGGCTAGTGACAGGGTCGGTACTCCCAGACTGAAACAGCAGCCAGGTTCCTGCCAGATGTGCAGAGGGAGCATGCAGGTGCACGATAAACGAAGGCCCTTGGGGACCCAGTGGTGGCCCTAAGTATCTCAACACAGACATAACTTACAAACAGAAACATCTTTACCACCTGTGGGTGAGAAGTGCAGCCAAGCGACAAATAAACAGGCCAAGAAGCAGAACCCACATCAGACAGTTTTGTGGGGGAGGGTCTCTCTTCAATGACATTTAGGCTGAGACCTCAGAAGTATCCAGCAAACAGGGGGTACAAGACAACATGCCAGGGGAAATTGGAGGGATCAAAACCTCCACCATGGCTGCAGGCAAGCCAAGATGCTGCCCACATCCACTACAGGATGAGGTACATCCTGCAAGATGGTTGTGTCTTCATGGGCACCTTCAAGGCTTTCAACTAACATGAATTTGATCCAGTGTGATTGTGATGAATTCAGGAAGATCAAGCCAAAGAACTCAAGCGAAAGAGAGAAGAAGGGAAGCAAGTCCTTGGTCTGCTGCAGCTTGGAGGGGAGACCAGGGGAGAACATGGTCTCAGTTACAGTAGAAGGACCTCTTCCCAAAGATACTGTCATTGACTGAGTTCCACTTGCTGGAGCTGCTGGGGGTCCAGGGATGGGCAGGGCTGCTGGCAGAGGAATCCCCAGCTGATGTTCCCAGGTCCCAGGCCCCTGCAGGACTTGCGGGGGTTGGTGGGTCATCCCAACAGATGATGACCCCACAAAAATAGAGGCGTTGTTGCAGCTGCTGCCACAACCAGTATTGCAGGGATCCCACCCCACCTGGCCACAGGTGTCCTCACCCACCTATGGGCCCTCGAGGGGCACCCCTTCCCGGCATGATGGTCCCACCTCCTGGTATGAGGCTTCTCATGGGTCCCCCAATGGGGATCCTCCCTGGATGAGAAACTTCAATGGGCAGGTTCCCTCCAGGAATCCAGACCCCTCTCCCATGGATTTGAGGACTTCTTTGACTCTCGGCCACAGAGTTACAGAAGTAGCTCTACAGAGGTGCGGGCCCAGTTCCTCAGGTCCACGTTATTACAGACCTGTTTGTTATGCCGGAGCCTCACAGGTTGTTTAGTTCCCCTTATACAGCCCCCTCCCCAGTGGGTGCCCACCAACGCCCTAGACTCACCTTTGCCCTCCTCACCTCCCTGTTTCCCAAATGACTTTACAAAGTCCTTTTATTTCCTTGTGGCCTATGAACCAAATTTATAATAAACTCTTAATAAGTTGCTATAAAAATAAAAGACAACATGCCAGGTGGAAGAGATGGCCAGTGCAAAGGCTTGGAGGAAGGGAAGTGACTGACTCATTGAAAGAAGGTCTGTGTAGGCTGCAGTGTAGCTGAGACAGTGTCGGGAGGTGAGGACAGACACAAGCAAGTTCAGATCAGGCCTCAGGGACTTCTGTAAGGAGTTTGCATTTCATCCTGTGTGCTTGACCTATAAACATGACTTTCCCCCTTCATACTGGGACTTCTGCCTCTTCCCCCCTTCATCTATTAATTCATTTGTTTTGGCAGAAGTATTTTAAAGTAAATTAAATTATGGCATTTCATTCCTAATACTTCAGCACGCAGCTGTAAAAAGCAATTTCCTACAAAGCCACAATACCTTTATCCAGAGATTTTCAACCTTTTGATCTCTGGTGCACATGAACTAATTACTAAAATCCTGTGGGACACCAAAAAATTTATTTTTTCCTACATGACAAAAAAATAAGTATAATTTTTATTCATTCATACCAGATGAATTGTTAAAACAATAAAACAATAAAAATTGTTTTATTCATTCACCTGGTGATAGATTCATGCATCTGGAGGCTATTGTTTGTTGGCTGTTGTAATTTTTTTATTTGACACTCTAAGGGAAAAGAGGTCAGTGCCCTGACTAAAGAGTCAGGTATTGCATATTGTAAAGATTCTCGAAGCACAGCAGTGTGCTGCTACACACTGGTAGAAAAGCTGTGTTTTATCATACCTAATAAATTTAACAATAACTTCTTTATATCATCTAACAGCTAGTCCACATTCAAATTGGTCCCCAAAATGTCTTTTTAGCTATTTGTTCAAGGCAGAGTCCAGTCAAAGTTTATATGCCATTTTTTTCCCTCAGTGTCCATAGAGACTGTCAAAAATTGCCAGTGCCTATATATTTCAAGTTGTGGCAGGGTTTTGGGGAAAGTTTTCACTTAGCAATGATCACACATTGGATAAACCTCACTGACTGCAATACTGCCACTGCACAGAGCTTGGTATATATGTCTTTTTATAATCACTTTTAATCTAGATGAAGTCACCCTCCTACCCTACTCCCTTTTCTTTGTGTCCATGACACTGATCTTTCTCAAGAGTCCAGGCCAGGTGTTCTTTAAGATGCCCCATCGCATTCTGGGATTTTCTGAATGTTTCCTCAAACATTCTTCAGACTTGTTCCTCTATCTAGTTTTTCCGGCATGCTGGGAGTCAGATCCAAAGGCTCAGCTACATCCATTCAAGGACATCTCCTAGATGCTGCTCTGTTCTGCAGACTCCACCACATTAAGAGTAGGAGGCACCAATAGCTGATTGTCCCACTTTAGTGAGGCTGAAATTGATCACAGATGAGGCTGTGACAGCCAGACCTCTGTGTAGTAAAGGAATATTTTACACCTTCTGACCACTAAGTAATCTATGGAGGTGATTTCTGTTTGGTCACTTTTTGTTGAAATTAAGGTATAATATATATACAGTAAAATTCACCTTTTAGAATGCAAGTTATGATAAATACATACACTCATGGAACCATCACCACAATCAAGAGATAATACATTTCCATCCCCCGCCAAAAAAAAATTTCCATTGCAGCTTTTTAATCTACACTTTCACCCTATGCTCTGGCAACCACTGGATTTGCTTTCTGTCCCATAGTTTTGCCTTCTCCATAACACCATATAAATGAAATCCTCAGTATGTAGTCATCTGAGTCTGATTTCTCTGTGTATCTTTTTTTTAAAAATCAGTATAAGAAATTGATTTATCAATTAAATAAGTAAAACTTACTTGAATAGTACTCTAGAAGGTTAATTCATGATGCAGAGGCAGTCTGTCCATGAAAACACTTATAAAGCAAACCATTATGAAATGCTGTGTGTACTTGATACCTGTTTTAATTTTTTAAAAATTTTCAGTTACAGTTTACTTTTAATATTATTTTGTATTGGCTCCAGGCATACAACTTAATGGGGCTTTTCTTTATTAAAAAAATATTTTTCAGTTATAGTTGACATACATTGATTCTGGTTTCTTTCTCTTAGTATAATGCATTTGAGATCTATCCAGATTGTTATGCTTATCATTCAGTCCTTTTCATTGCTGAGTAGTATTCTACTATGTAGACATGCCAGCGTGTTTATTTGCTTACCAGCCAAGGGACATTGGGCTGTTTGAGGGGATTGTTTGGCACCACACAAATACCCAGTTTTACATCACATTCACCTTTCATCGTATGATTTTAGCATCCTTGATAATCCTGCCTCAACCAAGTATTTCACTGGGAGTCACAAAATGGTTATTTTCTAATTCTTTCACTCCTTCTACATTAGTTGGAATTCTTCTGTAAAGAAGAGCTTTACCTTGTTGACTATTTGATTATCCTGAAATACTAAGACAGGATAAATCCTGAATTCCTTCCCTTTAATGATCAATTTTTAGACTAAGAATCCGATGCAATGAAAAACATCCAATGGTGACAAATTAGGATTGATTTTGGGGTTTTTGGGGGGAGAGGCAGGGAGTTTTAGGGACTCAGATTTCTTTTATTATATTTTTTGATTATGCTGTTATAGGTGTTCTGATTTTCTCCCCTCTTCCCCCCTCCACTCATCACCCCCGACTTCCTCAGGCAATCTCCCTACCATTGTTCATGTTCATGGGTCATTCATATAAGTTTTTTGGCTACTCCATTTCTTATGCGGTACTTTACATCCCCATGGCTAGTCTGTAACTACTTCTTTGTACTTCTTAATCCCCTCACCTCTTCACCCATCCCCCCACACCCTACTCACACCTGGCAACCATCAAAACGCTCTCCGTATTCATGATTCTGTCTCTGTTCTTGTTTGCTTAGTTTTTTAAAAACGTTTTATTTATTTTTAGAAAGATGGGAAAGGAGGGAGAAAGAGAGGAGAAACACTGATGTGTGAGAACTACAGCAACCAGTGGCCTCTTATATGCCCCCAACTGGAGACCTGGCCTGCAACCCACACATGTGCCCTGACAGGGAAATGAACTGGCAACCCTTTGGTTCACAAGCTGGCACTCAATCCACCAAACCACACCAACCAGGGCTTAGTTTTTTATTGTTTTTTTAATTCAATTGTTAATAGATTTGTATTTTTTGTGATTTTATTGTTCAGAGCTTTGATCTTTTTCTTAAATAAGTCCCTTTAACATTTCATGTAACAGTTTGGTGATGATGAACTCCTTTAGTTTTTTTCTTGTCTGGGAAGCTCTTTATCTTCCCTTTCATTCTAAATGAAATCTTTTCTGGGTACAGCAATCTTGGCCATAGGTCCCTGCTTTTCGTGACTTTGAATATTTCCCGCCAATCCCTTCTAGCCTGCAAAGTTTCCTTTGAGAAATCAGCTGACAGTCTTATGGGGATGCCTGTGTAGTAACTACTTTTCTCTTGCTGCTTTCAAGATTCTCTCTTTATCTTTAACCTTTGGCATTTTAATTATGATGTGTTTTGGAATGGGCTTCTTTGTATCCATCTTGTTTGGGACTCTGTGCTTTCTGGACTTGCATGTCTATTTCCTACACCAAGCTAGGAAAGTTTTATTTCATTATTTTTTCAAATAGAAAAATTCTTGCTCTTCCTCTTCTTCTTCTGGTACCCCTATGATGTGAATGTTGGACCCTTATAGTTGTTCCAGAGGTTGCTTATACTATTCTCTCTCTTTTTTTTTTTTTGTGGATATTTTTCTTCTTGTTCTGATTGGTTGCTTTTTGTTGTTGTTGTTGTTGTTGTTGTTTTGGCTTCCTTATGTTCCAAATCATTGATTTGGTTCTCAGCTTCATCCACTGTACTGTTTCCCTGAAAGTTGTTCTTTATTTCAATTAGTGTATCCTTCATTTCTGACTGGATCTTTTTTATGCTGTTGAATTCCTCACTAAGTTCCTTGAGCATCCTTATAACCGGTGTTTCAAACTCTGCATCTGATAGATTGCTTATCTCCATTTTGTTTAGCTCTTTTTCTGGAGTTTTGATCTGCTCTTTCATTTGGGCCATGTTTGTCTCCTCATTTTGGCAGCCTCCCTGTGTTTGTTTCTGTGTATTAGGTAGAGCTGCTTTGACTCCATGTCTTGGTAGTGTGGCCTAATATGGTAGGTGTCCTGTAGGGCCCAGTCGCACAGCCTCCCCTACTACCCAAGCTGGGCACTCCAGGTGTGGCCTTTTTGTGGGCTGAGTACACCCTCCTCTTGTAGTTGAGCTTTGGTTGCTGTTGGCAGATCAACGGGAGGAATTTACCCAGGCCAGTCAGCTGCAAGGATTGGCTATGACAACTGGCTACTATCCTCTGCCCTCTGTGGAGGTTCAGCTGTGCAGGGGCAGGGTGGTGATGCTCCCATGTGGCCTGTAACTGTCCACAGTGTGTGCTGGCCATGGGATTTCCTGGGCGGTGCAGGCCAAGGTCAGCCCCCACCTGAGTTTTCCCAGGGCCACCCTGCCTGAGCTATAAAGCAATCTGAATCTGAGGTGGCTGTTGCTTGTGCTGGGCTAGGAGATTCCTAAGTGAAGCCATTCTGCGAATCTAGGCTGGCTGCCAGGCCTGGGGCTCACTGAGGTCAGCTGTCGCTTGTTTGAGACAATTTAGGAATTTGTGAAGTCTGAGCCAAGACCAACCATTCATGTGGAAAAGCAGCTTGGGTGGGCCGGTGCTTTAGGTAGGGCAGAGCCTCTGGGTTCTCCAAGGTGGACCAAACAGTGTTAACCAGGTGATAGAATCTCAGATATGGCACCAGCCTGCTGGCCCTGTGGGTGAAGGGTTTAGAAAAGGGACAATGGCCTCTGCTCACCTTGATGCCAGACACTTTGGTCCCTCCCTGTATACCACTAGTACTTTTCAAGCTGCTGCCCCGGTGCTACAGCTGAAGGAATGAGTCTGAGTAGGTGAGTTTGTGTGTGGGTTCTTTCAGAGGAACTGCCTAGGGTTCCAGCAGTTTTTTCCACCTACTCAACCCCCTCTGGCTTTTTTTTTTTTTTTTTAATATGGAACACTTCATGAATTTACGTGTCATCCTTGCACAGGAACCATGTTAATCTTCTCTGTATAGTCCCAATTTTAGTATATGTGCTGTCAAAGCAAGCACTCCCCTCTGATTTTTACAGCCACTTGTGGGGACTTAACCTTCCTGGCACTGGAACCCTGGGCTGGGGGGCCTGGTGTGGGCCTGGGACTCCTTACTCCTGAGATAACTCTCCTGAATTTTTATCCACCACGTGTGGGTGAGAGACCAGCCTCATGTTTCTTTTTTTACTTTCAACATCTTTAAATCCATTGCAGCCCTTATGGCTCCCCCTGCCCTCTTTATTGAAAGAGTACTTTATTAGGCATTGGGGATATTTGAACATGGAACACAATTCCCATCCTTAAAAGACTCAAGCTGGTAAAAGAGACAAATGATTAAATACAAGATTACAGTGTCATGTTACAATAGCAATGAGAGAAGTGCATGTGGGATTCTGTGATAACACAGAAGAGGGAAAACTACCTGGGAAATGAAGCTAATATTATACAGTTTATGAGATCTAGTACTTTCATGACTTTTTTGTCTGCCACTTTTTGTATTTATTCCATTTTTGTTTTTCTTTTTTGCCTCCCTGTGGGCTCCTTGAACATTTTTTTTAGAATTGCAGTTACTGTATCTAAATTGTTTTTTAGTGTATTACACTGTAGCATGCAGCTTTTGAAATGGTCCCTCCACATATAGCAGAAGAGATGCTGTAGGAACTTAACTCTTGTTTATATCATTTAGCTTATAGTAAAATTGGTTTTGTTATACACTGTTTCACTTAAAAGTTATAGAACCTATTGACAACATTGAGGACCTACATTATATACATAACTACATTTTGTCAATTTGAGTGCAGTACAGAAACCTTACCTCCCTTACCATCTCCTGTTTATAATAACCCTAAATATTTCCGGTACAATGAGATCCACATCTAATATTGTTATAGTTTTGCTTCAACTGTCAAATATAAGATATTCATGAGAAAGGGAAGTTTTTGGTATCCACTTTCTTACTCTTTCCAGGATTCATTCATTTATCATTTCCCCTCTCTTTAGTGATCCTCCTTTAGCCTCCTTTGTTTTTAGGTTAGGTCTGCTGGCAACAAATTATATTACTTAGCCTTCATCTGAGAATGTCTTGATTTCCCCCTTTTTTAAAAAAAAGATTTTACTTATTTATTTTTAGAGAGAGGGAAAGGGAAGAAGGGAGAGAAATGTCAACGTGTGGCTGCCTCTCACACGCCCCCTACCAGGGACCTGGCCTGCAACCCAGGCATGTGCCCTGATTGGGAATCGAACCAGCCACCCTTTGCTCCGCAGGCCTGCGCTCAATCCACTGAGCCACAGCAGCCAGGGCCCTCCTTTAATTCTTGAGTTAATTTTCACTGAATATAGAATTCTGGGCTGATGATTTTCTTTCAGGGCCTGAAAACATTGTGCTTCATCCTTCTGGACTCTGTGATTTCTGATGAGAAATTCAGTTGTTCTAATTGTTTTCGCCCTGTAGTTGTCATTTCTCTTTTGCTGCTTTCAGAATTTTCTTTAGTTTTCAGAAGTTTGATTATGGCATGGATTTCTTTGCAAATGACCTGTGTGAGGTCTATTCTGCTTATTAACTCTATAGTTAAAAAACTCCCCCTTTTTTTAGCCATTATTTCTTTCTATACTTTTTCTGTCCCACCCTCTTTCTCTTCACCTTCTTAGACTGTGATGACACAAATATTAGATCTTTTGTTATAACCCTACAGTTCTCTGAGGTTGTTTTGGTTATGCTTGTTTTCCAAGCTATTTTTTCTGTTGTTCAACTTGGGTAATTTCTATTGATCTTTCTTCTATTGTTAAGCACATCCACTGAGATTTACTTTGGTTATTGTAGCTTTCAGTTCTAAAATTTCTATCTGGCTCTTTGTATCTTCTATTTCTTTGCTGAGACTTAAAGCATTTTCATGATGGCTGTTTTAAAAATCGGCATAGAATTCTAATATCTGAGTCATGTTCGTGTTGGCATTGGTTCTTTTCTCATATGAGATTTTCTTGGTATGATGAATATTTTAATTGAATCCTGTACATTTTGGGCATTATGAGGCTCTGGATCTTAATCATCTCTTTTAAGGCAGGCCTCCTCTGACACAGCGCCAGTGGGGGAAGGGGAGGCTGCCTCTTAACTGCCTTGGGGGTCTATGCCCTACTCAGCCTCTGCTGCTGTGTGGAGAAGCTGCCCGTGTGTGTACAGAGGTTACTTCCACAAGATTACTGTCTTGCTGTGCCACCTCTTTCCTAGTCCTTTGGCTAGAGCGTGCAGACTTTGTTGGGTGTGTATGTACGTATGTATGTATGTATGTATATATGTCATTTATGCCTGTGTGTTGGCATTTCCAGGTTTCTACTTCTCTAGCACCCAGCCCAGGATACATGAAGTAAAAAGAAAATCTAAGGAATACTTTGCTGTGTTATTTGGGTCCTAAGAATCCTAGCTAGTCTCCCTTCTTCTCTCTTATATTTCAGTCCAAGGATTGGAAATGCGCCTAATGGAGGAATCAGGTAAAGCACATCTGCTCCCTTATTTCAAAAGCAGAAGTCAGGAAGAGTCAGTCCTTATCCTTTTGATGCCTAAATGGTCCACTCTTTGGCCAGTTGGCTCCCTTTGAAATGATTCATTATTCTTTGATTGTTTCCTAAGATGTTCTAGGTTCACCTTGTATTCTCCCTCTCCAGCCTTGGAATTAGTCTCTTATACAAGGAGCCCTGGTTGGTTTAAGTCAGTCCGTGGAGGCCATTTACTTTACTCTGCTCAGGGCTACTTTAACAAGATATCATAAACTGGGTGGCTTTAACAACAGACATCTAAGTCTAAGATCAAGGAACTACCGGATGTGGTTCCTGGTGAGAGTCTTCTCCTGCCTTCTTGCTGTTTTTGGGAGACGTTTCCTTGGTACACGCTTGTGGAGAGTGCCTGTGTCTTTATCTTCTTATAAGGAACTAAAAGGAGCACCTCAAAAGGGTCCCACTTTCTTAACCTCATCTAAACATAATCACCTCCCAAAGACCCCATCTCCTAAAACCATCTCACTGGGAGTTAGGGCTTTGACACATTAATCTGAGGTGGGGGACACATTTGGTCCATAACCATTCATGCCAATGAGTGGTTCAGGCATGGGCCATTCCCTCTTTTTACAGAAGACAGAAGGAAGACAAGGTCCTCTCCTTTCTCTACTTGGGGCACCTGGCATTGGGGCCACTGCTTGCTACCAGCCTAAGGACCAGCAGAGAGGGCACAGCCAAGAGCACCAGAGGACTGGGAGCTAAAACTCTGACTTTCCCCTCTACAGACAAGCTGTTGTTCCATTTTGGTCCTCTGTGTGCCTCACTGCTGACCTGCTTCAATCGGCAGTTGCAAAGAGAGGATGAGTGATGGGCCAGGTCCATGTTACTTGGGTCTCTCTCATGAAAGCCTTTGGTCTGAACCTAAAAAGAAACCTGTGCACACACTCCTTTACACTTCTGTTTATTCTTCCTGCTCGGGAAAACCACTGACAAGTATCTTTCATGGGGAAGAGAAGACAGTATTGGAAAAGTCTTCAGGATCCTTATGCTGAACCCTTAAGACAGGAACCTAGAAAGCCAGAGATCCAGGGGACCAAGCCTCCAGGGTCCTAGACCTGGGGTCATGAAAAGAAGTTCAGAGAGCAGCCACTCAACATGGGTAGGGCAGCTCCGTGCAGGCTACAAACACTCTTGTCCTCAACCCAGGGAGCTCATCAGGGTCTGGGCCTGCTTCAGTTCTAAAGGACAAAAGGCAGGGAGTTAGGCAGCAGTCAGGTCGCATCTGGGAGAGCCCCTAAGCCCTCCAGGTATAGCTGAGCCTTACCTGCCAGGAGGACCTGGAACTTGTCTGCTGAGAGGGACAGGGCAACAACCTGGGCCGGGGCATCCGGGGCAGCTGCCACTTCCAGCCTCAGGCGCACCATGGGCTCTTCCACAGTCTGCAGTAGGCTGGAGCGCAGGATGTAGTCTACCCGCCAGCCTGCACCTGCCAGCCTGTTCACTGTGAGACAGGGCGGAATTCTCAGGCTCGTGGCCAGACAGTTCTCAGCCCACCCCCTACTCAGCCCTCAACTCTCCAAGGCTGTGTGGCCTTTGAGAAGCTCTTATCCTTTTGACCTCTGACCCAAAGTAGGTGCGCAGTAATTGGGAGCTCAGATTATCCACAGCAGATCTTAGAGGAAGAAACCTGCCTAAAGTCAAGAGTGCTGGCTCTGTGACAGTGACATGTGACCATGTCCTCTTCTGAGGACAGTGTCTCCCATACTACACACACGTTCCAGACTGGACGCCAGGCCCCACCTTGGCCAATTCAACACTCACCACGCAGGCTGCAGGCCTGCAGGTGCTCCTGCAGGGAGCTTTGCTTCTCCTCGTAACAGCGACACAGGCAGGCTGCGTGCTCTAGGGGCAGAATGGAGGTCCTCTGAGCAGCAGGTGGTCACTGGGGTAGCTCAGAGGGCAGGTCTCAGGCTCCTGGCCCAGAGAGGGCAGGGTGCATCTCAGGGTCACACAGGCTGGCTTGCTGCCCTGCAGGCCTTGGCCTTCCCAGGTTCCCATACCTTTAGGTAGCCCCAGTTGCTGCAATTCACTGGACAAGGACTCGCCATCCACACTATGCTTGGCCGCACTGGAGAGGATGAAACTCAGTACTGCCACCATGGCCTTCACATCACCCGACTCTGGGGAGACCCATGGGTGGGGAACGGGTGTCACTGTGGTCCCAGACACCTTTGTTGCCATACCATCTTCAGCTCCCAGCTCCCAGGCCTCCCTGAGCAATAAGCATTGCTACTGCTGGCAGAGGACTCTGGGGGCAGGACTGTCAATGTCTTCTCCTCAGGTTCCTCTGCGGAGGTGGGTCAGGACAGGATGCTGGGAGGGAGTGCCTCTGGACCAGGCCTCAGGCCAAGGAGCCAGAGTTGCCCAAGGTCTGTGGAGTCAGTGGGGTACTCACCAAATCTGGTATCGGCAGTGAGCTTCAGGACTTTCTCGTACTGTGGGAGAAGAAAGCCCTTAGGGGTGCCAGACCCC